GATTAATGTAGTGCTTTATTATCATCATATCACTATACAGTATGATAGTGAACTGTATGTATTGGGAGGAGAAGTATGCACGGATACTTACCACCGCGCAGATGAAAGAGTTGGCGGATAGTGGCAGAAGTCGTCTGTTGGCCCTTGCTGATATCACAGCCGATCCAGGTGAGTACCTGTGTGTTCAACTACCGAGGCGGATGTAGATGTATATATAGGTGTATATAAGTATATATATATATATATATATACATGTGTGTGTGTTTGTGTTTATGTTTGTGTTTGTGTGTGTGTATACATGTTCATGTTCATGTTCATATACACATACACAAAAATATACACATCTCTTTTCTCCTTTGTTTGTTTAATTCGATGTGATCTTTTAGAAACAGACTCGTTCATATGTATTAATACTCATTTTGCACTCTTTCAGGTGGTAGTATTCAATTCATGAGTGACTGCACCACCATCGATGACCCCTTCTACATCTACAACCCTACCACTGGCAAGCAGCACAAGGTATGCGTATATATATACATGATGATATATATTTATATACATACATATATATATATATATATATACATATATTCGTATACGTATACGTATATATCTTTACTTGTATATATATATATATATAGTTGTAATGTGTATAAGTTTATGTGCTTTGTCGCCAACAACGTGCTTGCTGCTATTCCAATTGCCTACTCATGATGATGCGATGAATGTGTACGATACGTTGTCTCTGAACGTCGTCAATAACCGAGTGAACTTATTGACCTTTATCTATGTACTTGTAGAACCGCGCATACATACATGTACACATCTGTGTATCTATGCATTCACAATATACATAACACACTAACAACCTTTACGTATATCTATGTACGTATGCAAACACATTCATAATCATATGCATGTACCAATGTATACACGTATATACCTGTGTACGATACATACGATCGACCTTTCTTCCCGTACCCCACATGCACCAGGATATGACTAAGGAGGGTGTTCTTATCATGAGCGTAGACAACCTCCCTGCAGAGCTGCCCATGGAAGCGTCGTCGCACTTCGGCAGCCAACTGCTACCATACATACAGTACTACTTGTCAGGTGGGTCTGAGAACGATGCTTGTGGTGCGCGCAAACGATATTTATGATATAATAGCATGGTATGGTATGATATGACATGAAGTGTATGGTAGGAATACCTAGTTCCAGGTGATAATTCTATAATATATATATATATATATATATACATATATATATATATATATATATATACATATATATATATATGTACTGAATCGCTGGCTTGGCGCTTGTGTTGAGCGAGTTGTGTGTTATGGGTCACAGTTCGGATCCCTTGGTAGATTAGTAGTCTATTAGTCGAGTATAAATATCTCGGGTGTACATATCTGGCGTATACACGCACGTATATCACAGTGTACAAACATTTACCATTGCGTATGACATCTCCTCATTTACACGTATACACCTACATCTGTGTGTACAAACGTATATCATTGCGTGTATGCGCATTTGCACGTATACAAATACATCTCAGCGCACAAACGTATACCATTGCGTATGTATCTTTACGTTTTTGTTTCCCCGTAACCACAGATCCTGAGCTTAAGAACGAGAATGTGATGAGTCGCTGTCTACAACGCGCGGCTGAGACAACCTCTGACGGCATGTACACAATTTTATAAACGGATTGTTTTGAATTTACGTATTTTTTGATTGGACCTGACTTGATGAATAAGGATTTCTCTGGACAAACCGTACTGTACTGCAAAAAACGTACTCCAGCCAAGAGATTCCGGCTGTGCCGAGAGATGGTATAGCAGTGAACAGTTATAACCACTGAAGACTGCTCATGCACCATACACCCTAAAATAGTTACCATCAATACATACATAAACACCCTAAAATAGATCCCATCAATCCATACCTACACACCTTAAAGTAGAATCCATCAATCCACACCTACACACCCTAAAATAGATACCATCAATCCATACCTACACACCCTAAAATAGATGCCATCAATCCATACCTACACACCCTAAAGTAGATACCATCAATCCATACCTACACACCCTAAAGTAGATACCATCAATCCATACCTACATATGAATGTGTCATAGTCTATCCAGGTTATGGTACATCATATACTATCATACATACGTGCACTTAACAGAGTCATATATTATTATACATCATATACTAGCGTGCATCATATATTTCTATATATCATACACTAGCATACATCATATATTATTATATATCATATACTAGCATACATACATACACCCTACACAGTCTACTTAGGTATATGGGTGATCAAATCCACACGTATCGAAACACTACATAACACCCACTACACTAACACACACAACACACCCACCTAAACAAGCACATACCCTTCATCACACACCCTCCACAGGACAACTGGAGACTAAGTACAAGTACATTGAGCAACTGCGTGAGACCAACCGACAGAGACTACGCCACGTGGTGCTGTTTGGCTCAGGAATGGTTGCCGGCCCAGTGGTGGACTATTTGTTGGGTTTGCGAGATGTTCGTATCACAATTGGTATGATATATATTAGAAATATGGATTTGTATTTGTATATGTACATGTACATGTATATATATATGCGCATATGCATGTGTATTTATAATTGAAGTTATAATTGTAATTGTATATGTATTGTATAATTATATGTATATGCGTGTATGTATTTCAAGGTTAGCCTATGCGCATGTATGTATGTATATGTGTATGTATATGTATATGCGTGTATGCATTCTAAGATTAAATCCATGCGTACCTACACTGTTTGCCCCACACCCCACTCACACCTAACACTCACCCCATACACAGCTGCCAACCAGCTAGCCGAAGCCACTGCGCTTGTGAGAGGTCGAGATCACGTGTCATTGGTTGACTTCAATGTCTCTGAGTGTGATGAGGGGACCCTGAATGACTTAGTTGGTGTGTTGTATGCACGCACACGCTTGCTGTTTTGATTTTATTTGATGAGTTAGTGGATGTGTTGTATGCACACACATGCTTGCTATTGTGGTCTTATTTAATGACTTTCTTGGTATGCATTACGAACGTACACACTTGCTGTTGTGGTTTAAGGGTTTTAGGGCTTAATTTATAATTAGATTGTAGTCGGAGTTGGGATACGAAGCCATGGTAAGTATTGTTTTGGACATAGATATATTAAATATAGTTCGAGTACTTATAAAATATATAATGTAGTCAGAGTATATGTATAATATATAGTGAACTTTGAGTAAATATAATAAATAATATTGTCAAATATTTTTATATAATTTAGTCAAATATATATATATATATATATATATTGTATAGTATAGTATAGTATATATATATATACATATTACATATTACATAATACTATAATATATCATACAGTAAGCATATATATAATATAAAGTAATCATGTTATATAGTGCTGTAGTTTATAATATAGTCTTAAGTATAAATATATTCCGAGTATATATATATACTGTATAGTATATATATAACATTTAATCCTATGCTATAATCCCAGCATATACAATATATATACTTTATATATAATACTATAATATATGATCTGTTCTGAATATATATATAATAAAATTGAGCCTGTGTATTCTACTGATCTGCGATTGTCTGCTGTCCCGCTAATATCTCTCTGTGGGATGAATCACTGCTACTACGACTACTCAGGTAGCCACGATGTCGCTATCAGTTTGGTGCCTGCTCCACTGCACCCGAAGATCGCTGGTATGTTAATGTTAATGAGAATATCACTTTATACGTCACTCTCCTGTACTTTACTATCGTTGGTGTGTTGTTGGCAGATACAAGTAGAGCATCATCCATACTGAGCTTGTTTGTGTGTATACGACATCCGACCGAGTCTGGGATCAAGCACATATATATATATATATATATATATACACTACCCCTCCCACACACACATATATATATACATATCGTACCCACACACACACACACACAAATCGGATATGTTGCTGAAAGGGTGTGTGTGTGTGGTGACGACGTGGCCTGTAGCACATATGTAAT